TCAGTCGTTTTTTAGCCGAAAAAAAACCAGACTCAACCAGAGTTGATGAAGCCAAAATGAGATCCAAATCCCATATGCGAACCATGGTGCTGGTATAGTTACCATTATTTACCCACATTTGGGCGATTTTTAGGGCAAATGTTGGTAAATATTCCAGCACCGTGGAGCATGTGGGAATGAATCTGTCAGACCAATCTTGTGTCAGAATGCATGTGTTTTTCTTGAAAAAAGGATATGTTTCTGGGTTTATAAACATACTTCTGGTTGAATTTCAATGTGCTAATTTGTGATGTGAGGATTACTACAATCAAGTGCATTTATGTTATTTCCATGTTTGGCAATTTAATGTTGGCCACGGATGTCAGGATTAGTCTCGAGTTGCAAATAGGTGCACTGCATTTCTCTATTCAGACTTAGACTCTGCCAGCCAAAGGCACGCAACTTTCAGATAGCATTTATTGTACTCACTCTCTTTGTCTCTTTTTATGTGCATGGGGCGTGGATTCGTGGATTCCATATGATACCTGGAAGTGACGGCTATGTTTTCCACAAGCTTTTAGCCACACGAAAACATACGGATGCCAACAAAAGTGTCAAGACCATCAACGTCAAAACCGATAAGCTGATTTGCCTATTCCGGACCAGATCCCTCAGAAAGACATCTAGATCCGAGTATCAGCCCAACTCTGTTCAACACCTTTGTCTCAAAGTTATGGGAAGCCCCTAAATCCTATCCTCATCAGCATCATGTTCCCTCCTATTCGATGGACATAATTAAAAAAAAAATCATATGATTTCATATAACATGTCTAATATATGGCCATATATGGCCATATGGTAGACTATAAAGGATGGGGCCCCCAGTGATGTTTGTTGGTTCATAAACCATTATAACCCCCATTAACTAGTTCGTGATATCTACCATAAACCCAATCGACATAGAGCCACTCTAAATCAGACGACGGGCCCCGCGAACTCGACTGGGGCCCCATCTTGTACCAAAAACATGACTTGGATGATTTATGATGATTTATGAGATGATTTGATATGATTTGGATATATATCCATATATATCCATATATATCCATATATATCCATATATATCCATATATATATATATCCATATATATCCATATATATATCCATATATATCCATATATATCCATATATATCCATATATATCCATATATATCCATATATATCCATATATATCCATATATATATATATCCATATATATATATATATATATCCATATATATCTCCATATATCTCCATATAGTATCACCATTTTTTAGAAAGCTCCCATATCATGCTATCCTCTTCAGAGACTGCATCGCAGCAAGGATGCTCCTTTGGGACAACAAGGCCCGCCGTGGTACCGAGGCAAGGCAGCTCGACACGTCCTTCGTGAAGGAAACATGAAGGAATCAGTAGCCCTCTTGTTGTAGAGCATATGAGATGAATGATTATAATGTTATTATATTGTATTATAATATATTGGTATAGTAATATTGATATTATAAATGATATGGATGACTATAATGACTATAATGACTATAATGACTATAATGACTATAATGACTATAATGACTATAATGTTATTATATTGGTATAGTAATATTGATATTAATAGTATAGTAATATTACCCAGAGACGCCGTGTGTTGCCCAGACATCAACATTGAGAATGTCGTGCTGTCGAATGTATGATAGGAGAGACTGCAGAAAATACTGCGTATACGCAGTGTTTTCCAGTTCAGGTTTCAAAGTTTTCAGAGCCTAGGTTTTAGGGTTTAGGGTTTTAGGGTTTGGGGTTTTAGGGTTTGGGGTTTTAGGGTTTGGGGTTTTAGGGTTTAGGATGGTTTCGGGTTTTAGGGTTTAGGGTTCGTCGTCTGGGAAATCTCAAAACACTGGCCCTGCGCAGGTGTTTGAGCATGTTCAAGGATAATGTTTAAACATGTTCGCTGCAACCTGGACGTTTGCCCGGAGTTGATGTCCCGCCAATATTGTTCTGAGGGGGTGGCAAATTTTGATCCCTCATGAAGATAAAGATGATGTAATTACCCGAATCAACACATGTCACAATGATGAGTCTGGGCGAACGTTAAGGTTGCGGACAGCATGTTTAAACGCCATTTGAACCTTCCGGGCAACACACAGCGCCTGGCCGTAATATTATAATTATTAATATTAATTATTATTTTGAGCACCGTTTTTCACTTACACAGTACGCCAAGTAGCGAGACATGGTGACATCATACATCATCCGGTGTTCCAACCACGACGTGTGTTCAGGACCCACATTCCAGCGTTTGCGACTCAGATGGTTGGGGTGGTTGCCGCCTGTATAACCTGCAAAAGAGGGCTGCGAATGCCGTTGCAGAAAGCGGGGATGCAATAGCTGGATCAGCAAGTAATATGGCATATCCTACTTGAAGATCATAGTGATCTACAAGATTACAAGGTACTTTTGCACTTGGGGCGTTGCGCATGTCATCCTCCAACATGTGCAAGATTACGAAGCTATCGACCGGATATTACGCACTCTTCTGAGTCGATGGAGATGTATAGCTGAGTACACACTGTTTATGGATGTGTATGCATGTGTATTCTCTCTTAACTTGTGTTTTGCATGTGCAGCATCTTCAAATATCTAGTGAATCTAGTGGCAGTGGCTGAACAACCCCACGATCAACTATCAATCTCTGAAAAAATGATGACAGTTCATGGGTCATTAAATGTCCCCATTGAACATCACCCAACCATTAGGTATATGGTCTATAATGGCTACTATAAGGTGATGTCCAATATACCCAAAAATGGGACAGTTACCAACCCCTGAAGTTCACACTTTCTGTAGGATTTATTGGGCCCAACCTGTTTTTTTCTTCCATCCTCGTTTCTTTCTTCGTTCCTTGTTGCTTATTTGGCAGTAGAAATCAACTCCAATGTTGAAAGGATGGTTGCTCCCATAGATCCATAAATCAATCCTGGAGAGATGAAGTCTGGGCACAAACGGCACAGACGACCTATCCCAGAGAAGGGAAAGTCTACAGGAAACCATCCAAAATATACGAACCCCCAGTTTCTTCGAAAAAAAAAAAAAACATGGTTTCAATGGTTTCCTGCAAAAAGTTGGGTTGCACCAATCCCATGGTTTCCTGCAGTTTCCTGAACCGCCGAGGATGGAGGCCCCTGAGTGAGAAATTCAAAACATTTCAATTCAAAGTTGTTTCCCGACACTTCTCTTATAATCACTTATAATCATACTTCACTCACTATACTGACTCCGCATTCCCATTTTAATTGCCACCACTTGTAGCTCTAGTCGCAGCTGGGAAACCAGCAGAATTGACATGGCAGACATGGCAGATGATGAAAAACACACCCAAATCAACATAAATGAACTCACTGAATTCGTGCCTTGCGCGTTGCGTTGCGCGTTGTCGACATGACACCAATGTCGAAGCGCAAAATGTGACAGCCATAACTGTCTCACGTACAAGGCCAGTGAGATCCCGGCGAGCAACAGCTAGAATTGGAAGAAACCAATGCAGCACTGCAAGAAGTTTAGGCCTGGAAAATTTCAAGATGTTGCCTGTAAGTTAGCCGTACTGGAGATTGGTGACGCAAATAGATGTAGGTGTTAAGAATCAAAATCGTAGCTATTGATATTGATTCATATTTTGCGAGTTAGTTCAAGTGTTTTCCCCTGCATCTGCATACGAGATTAGAATTGTGGACTTGAGAGACCACAGTTGGACTAGTCCCTCCTCAAAATATATCAAGGTGGGGTTTTTAGCCGCTGCAATGTCAATTGAGCAGTGTTAAAAACCTTCGTTGGTTGATGATTGGGACATATATGGGGACCATGTCATAGCAATGTCACGGAGGAATAGCACAATCCGTAAGGGAATCCCGCTCTCAACTATAACCACTATATAGAGACGACACAGGCTACACTACTCTTGGTTCTCTTGGCATTCTTTGGACATTTCTGTGCTGAAAATTTGTCATCAGATTCCAGGTTCTTGGCATTTCTTGGTGTCTTCATTGGCAGTACAATAGAAGACGGACACATATATATATATATTTAGATGGATGTGGTATTGTTTGAGCAGCATTCTGGATCTTCTTGGATCATCAAAGCAGTTGACTGGCTCTTCATCCAAAGAGCTGTGGAGATTTGCGAGGAAAGAGTGCGCAGATGTTGCTACTCCCAGGGTGTCCCAGTGGCAGATGGGCAAATTTCTGCTGAATTTCCGGGCGTGTTGACGGAAGTCTTTGTAAGTTGGCACATCAGACTTCATCAGACTTCATCAGACTTCATCAGACTTCATCAGACTTCATCAGACTTCATCAGACTTCAGGCCGTTCTGCAGGACATTCACTGGCCATTGCGGCCCAAGTGTCACTGGTCATTGGCTTTACAAAAAAAACAGGCTTCGCCACAGGCAAGGGAGACATCTATAATCATCTATTGGTGACGTTCAACTTTTGAAGTGCCCATCATGTTTTATAGATACATCTATACAGATGAACGTTGATTATCTTATTCCGATGCTCGTCATGTGGAGCTGGAAGATGTTGACACAGATGTTTTGATCTGTTCCGTAGGTAACAAGTAATGTAGATATCTATTCTCGTGTTTTCTCTTACATATCATAGAATTGGATGATGGGAAAATTTACAGGAAAGCCTCATATTTGATGGTAAAAACCATGTTTCCTGTAGATTTTCCCTTAAAACAACCCAGTGAACATAGCAAACACAATTCCACGTTCAGGGAAGAATTTCCTCAATGCTGGAGACCAGGAAAAAGTGCCGTCATCCTCCACAGTCTGGCAAAACACGGTCGATGAGACTGAAACAAAGTCCAAAAGACAAAGAGAAGAGATGAAACTTGACTAAAAACAACCATACTTGACATGGATCAACTGATATTCTGACCATGTTCAACATTGTTCAACTACATCATCAACCAACCTTGATTCTGCGCC